ATTCTGTACACTGCTTTGTTTCCATAATCCTAACATATTACACATATATTTCTAACCTACAGAATCTTTAGCAGCATTTAATGTCTACTAGATGATGCATTCCAAATAAACAAGTATTATAAAACTCATATGTTTGGTGAGATGCACTTAATTACAGTGTATTTTTTTTCTAGTTCAATGCATAAAGATTTACCTCATCCTTTTAAATGGCTGCAGTGCATTTCACTGCATGGATGCATCATTTCTTGAACACAAGTAATGGATATTTAGGTTGTATGATGTCTTTCCATATAAATAATGCTATAATAAACATCTTTGTACATGCATATTAGTCTTTCCCCATTACTTCCTTCAGATTAATTTCCTGGAAGTAGAACTGCTGTATCAAAGGGAATACATGTTTTTTCATTTTGATCCATATCGACAGTCTGCCCTCCAGAAAAGCCTGGACAGCAATGAACATTATTCACCAATCTGATTAAATTATTAATGAGACTAATTATCTCTTCAAATATTTAGTAGCCATTTATATTATTTTTTCCATTAACTGTCCATTCATATCTTTCTATCCTGTGTTCCTCTTACTAATTTACAAGAGTGCTCTATATCCAGGAATATGAATCCTCTGCCCATATGTGGTAAACAGTTTTTCCAGCTTACTTTTTTTTTTTTTGGAGACAGGATCTTGCTCTGTTCCCTGTGTAGTGGCATCATCATAGCTCACTACAACCTCAAACTCCTGGGCTGAAGCAGTCCTCCTGCCTCAGCCTTCCAAGCAGCTCAGACTATAGGCACATGCTACCATGCCTGGCTAATTTTTCTATTTTTTGTAGAGAAGGGGGTCTCACTCTTGCTCAGGTTGGTCTTGAACTCCTGAGCCTTTTGTTATATATAGGTTTTAAACTTTTAGGTGGTCATAACTGTCAATCTTTTCCTTTGAAGTTATGGGTTCTGAGTCATGCTTAAGCCTTAAGTACTTTAAACCATATACTGAACTACAAGGCAGCAATTACCAATATTTCTTTTTACAGAAAAAATCCATAACATAGTTTAAGTATTCTATAACCCAGTATGAAAACACAGTTAAATTCAATGCAAACAAGAACCTCAAATCTCCATAATTATGGCCAATTTCTACATATGTATGAGAAGCAATGGAATAAAAAATACACAGTTGAAGAAACATGCCTGCAGATCAGTTTCCGCAGGACTTTCATTTTCATCATCATCATCTGCTCTGACAGCATCAGAATGACAATCTTCCTCAGCTTCTGCCTGAGGGGGGAAAAACCCAAATAACATCAGGAATATGCAAACACCGGTTTCCCTGTGTAATTTGTATCTTCTATTCAGCTTCTTGCTACTTAATACCATAAAGTCAATAGTTTGTGAAACCCACTTTGAGTAGCAAGGCTGTAGAGTGCATTTGAGACCTTACTATTAAATATTTCTTTCTTTCTAAAGGAAAATGAGTCTGAAAAGCATATCCTCCACTCCAAACCATAGTATTCACATCACCATGAATCTTAACGTTTCCCCTCCCCAAATTTAACATCAATTCTGTTCATCTAAAAATCAATCTAATTATGGTCATCCCTAAGCATCCATGGGGGATTAGTTCCAGGATCCTCAAGGATATCAAAATCCATGGATGCTCAAGTTCCTCATGTAAAATGCCATAGTATTTGCATATAACCTATGCATACCTTCCCATATACTTTAGCTCATCTCTAAATTACTTTAATACCTAACACAATGTAAATGCTATGTAAATAGTTGTTACACTGTATTTTTTTAACTTGTATTGTTTTTGTTGGGTTTCTAATTTTTTTTTTCTTTTTTAGGCTGGTCAAGTGAAGCAGTAGGAGTGGAAAAGGAACAAAAGAATCTGTAATTGGTTGTGATCATTAGTTGTAAACACCATTGCACTCAGACCAATCTAAAAATATTTTTGATCCACGATTGAATCTGAAGATGTGGAACCTACAGGTAGAGGGCCAATTGTATTATATAAAATAACAATTCAAGTCCATTACTATCATAAATAATTTGATATTTGATTAATGTTAATTAGGTAATGAAGCCAATTCCTCCATCAATATACATAACTATCTACTGATAATCTATAATAAAAATTATTTTCACTTTTTCTTAGAAAAAGAGGAAATAAAATAGGAACACCTTTGGTTTTCTCTTTTAGTTCAACAAAAAAATTTTTTTTTAACTTTTTTTTTTTTTTGAGACAGAGTCTCACTTTGTCGCCCCAGGTAGAGTGGAGTGGTGTCATCACAGCTCACAGCAACCTCAAACTCCTGGGCTCAAGTGATCCTCCTGCCTCAGCCTCCCAAGTAGATGGGACTACAGGAGCGCACCACAACACCAGGCTAATTTTTCTATGTTTAGTAGAGATAGGGTCTCGCTCTTGCTCAGGTTGGTCTTGAAGTCCTGAGCTCAAGCAATCCTCCCACCTCGGCCTCCCAGATTGCTAGGATTACAGGCGTGAACCACTGCACCCAGCCTTTTTAAACTTTTTATGAAAAAAATATTTAAACATATTTAAACATAAATAGGGTAATAATCCGTAAGTGCTCATGACCCAACTTCAGTAATTATCAATGCAATAATTCTTTAATATCAAATACCATGCCACAGTTCATATTTCTCAAAATGTCATATATGTAAAACACACGTTTTATAGTGTGTGAGATCAAGATTCAAGTAAGGTCCACACATGGCAATTGGTTGATATGTCTCAAACGTTTGTAATCTTGTAATTCTTTTCCTGCAATTTGTGATGAGACCAGGTCATTTTTGTGTAGAACTTGGATTTTGCTGAGGTATCAATAAATGTTCCTTTGCTCTCTCATTTCCTGTAAATTGTGGCTAAATCTAGAGAGGCTTGATTAGATACTGGTAAGATTTTTTTTTTTTTTTTTGGCAAGGCTACCTCATAGGGACATTTCCCATCAGCAAGGGAAGTGTTCTGAAAAGCAGCTGACAAAGTGCTCTGGCACAGGTTCCAAACATAATTGAGTCTGGGGCAAAAAACTAACCTAAATAATCTTAGCATCCATAAACTTCTGCAACTACCAGAACAGAAAATACTGTTTCATGCCAATGAAATACAGAATTGCTTCTCTGTAGATATCTTCTTCACAGTTTAATGATACCAATCAGATAAAATTTGAAACTGTAATTTTTTCTTATTACTATACAATAAACAACTCCACTAGCTCCAGTTAAAAATGTTTTGTTAGGAAGGAAGGAAGACAAAGAGAAAAATAAAATTGTTTTGTGTAGGTGGTTAAAAAAGAACAACTAAATAATAACATTTAGTTGTGGTATATAGAGCTTTTGTTTTGTTTTTTTGAGATGGGGTCTCGCTGTTGCCCAGGCTGGCCTTGAACTCCTGGCATCCAGCAATCCTCCTACCTCAGCCTCTCGATTAGTTTGGACTCTGGCTAGCATGTGCCACCACACCCTGCTATAGCAAATAGTTTTTGGTTCATGGATCACTTAAAAGAACACAGTCCGTAAAAAGATGTCCCTTCTTTTATACAACTAGCATGTTATTAAACTTGTTCTGTGAATATGACTTCTATTTGTTAACATTTTATATGTACTAGGAAAGCTTCTTAGTCAAAGACTTAACTGTGAATGCTTTTGTTAAGAAGCCTCTATTTTATCTGTCTTATAAATCCAAATTTTATATATCGGATTGGCTTACAGTGGAATAAAAGTGGACTGGGATTACTGTGTGGACTGGGGCTTAACAGAGGTCTCAGGCCAGACTCCTTTCATTTTATCCTTTTATTCTCAATAAATGTTTGCTAAATTAAACTGAATCCTACCTTCCAGTGAAAATGAAATGTTCCCTCAGTTCAGTCTATTAGCTAACAGACTTATTAGCAAATGGAACTTGCTCAACCACTTAATGTGTTCATTCCTATAAACAAATGTGGCAATCAGGGAAATGACTTTAAAAGTTAGCTAGAAATAATAAAGTCCATTTAATGTTACTAGTTCTAAGGATGGTAAGTTTTACAATTGCAAATTTTAGTTCTAAGTTATTTCCAAGAAAAAAGATGTATTAACACAGATCTTTGACATAGCAACTTGCACTACATTACAGCACAACATAAATAAGCCTTGCTTCCTACCTTATCTCTGGCAACCAGACTCAAAGCAGAGGTGCCTTTAAGACTTGAACTAGTTAGTAAACAGTAAAATAGTCAGCACATCGTAAAGGATCAATCAGTGAAGATATAAATGAGAGATCAAGAACTCAGATGTATTTCCAGAAAATTGGAAAATTTAAGCATTCATCTACTGTCAAATACAATTTTGGTTTGTTTTTTTTTTTTAGTCTCTAAGTTGGGAGATTTTCCTACTAAGAACACTATTAGGAAAATACACAATGAAGAATTGTGAATGTATAGATCTCATTAAGAAGTCTACTGTTCTCTCTCCTCAAGTAAGAGTCTGCTTTATTACTGTAAACTAAGTACAGCTACTGGGAGGGGACCTGAGTCCTGTAGGGTATTCTCTTAGTAATTTAGCCTTGTAATTCTTGCATAGTAGTTGTACTAAACTGACTTCATTTCAAGAGCTTTTGCGGCTTTCTCCAGTTGGTGCTCTTGCATAAATGCTGCTTGCTCTCTCCATCCGGAATGCCATATTCTTTACTTAGTTACTTTTACTCATCATACGAGATTCAGCTCATGGTTCATCTTCTTAATCAGAAGCATTTTCTGGTCCTTTTCAATAGCTTCTTTTGTGTTCCCATAACACCTGGGCTTACCTGTATCAAAAAACTTGTAAATTATTTTTGTTTTCTTCACTAGAGTTAGTACATCGAAGACAGGGATCACATCTGGTCATCTTTGTAACCTTGCGGACATACACATTGCTTGATTCATAGTAAAGGCCGGTGCAGGCGTCAGCTGTCTCATCTGTAGTGATCTGGTGACTTGAGGTCCATTTCCTTATGTGACATCCCACGATTAAAAGTATCATAAATCACCTTACAGATCTGGTTATACTGAGGATCTAGTATTATACCAGAGTCTAACACTATGACAGGCTGATAATAGGTGCTAAAAATACTGAATTAATAAAATGCCATATGGGCCGGGCATGGTGGCTCATGCCTGTAATACTAGCACTCTGGGAGGCCAAGGTGGGTGGATCATTTGAGCTCAGGAGTTCAAAACCAGCATGAGAAAGAGCAAGACCCCTCTCTACTAAAAATAGAAAGAAATTACCTGGACAACTAAAAATATATAGAAAAAATTAGCTGGGCATGGTGGCGCATGCCTGTAGTCCCAGCTACTCGGGAGGCTGAGGCAGGAGGATTGCTTGAGCCCAGGAGTTTGAGGTTGCTGTGAGCTAGGCTGACACCACGGCACTCTACTCAGGGCAGTAGAGTGAGACTCTGTCTCAAAAATAAAATAAAATGCCTCATGGACATAAATGCATTATCTGAAGGATGAGGAAAGGAAATAGCAAACGTGTAACAAAGACAGCATCTTTCTTTGCCCCTGAGCTGTGTTATAATTGAATTCTAATCCATCATTACTTTTCGACAGTATGATCACAAAAACAAGAAACTACGAATTGGGGGTTTTCCTGTATTTGATCAACTCAAATACCACTTGAAGTAAATAGGCCCTCAGCTGCCACCCAGAGGTTTTCACTTTTTCATAACTGAGTTTGACCGACATATCACCTTTCACTTGAGTAGCTCATCTGAGTAGGTTATGTCTTCATCATGTTACTCCTGTTTCACAGGTGGGATTAATGAAATATAAAGGTTAAGTGCTTAATCCTGGTCAAAGAACTACTTCTGAAAGTTTAGGGGCAAAGTCAATCGGTGCTTTTTCTATCCTACAGATTACCTTAATGAAATAAGTTCACTCAGCCATTCATTTATTTAATAAATATTTGACTCTACTATATTAGTTTGGAATCATTTCAGCCTTGATTGATTCAGCCCTAGCCAGAAATCAGTTCTTCAGATGGACAATTTATTCGAAGCCAAAGGCAGACATTGAGCAGAGACTACTTATTCCAATATGCAACAGTCCCATGGAATCTGCGCTGTCAAACCCTGGGGCTTAGCTCAATCTCTCCATTTGGACCGTACAGACATTGCTCAGGCCCTCACTGCTGGTAAGTGAGACACGAACCCTGGAACTTCACTCCGCCAGGACCGCCTGCTAACATCCTACTCAGGACACCTAACGGCGCAGTTGCGTCCCAAACCCAGGACTTCTTAAGGCGCCGAAACAGCCTCTCAGTGGGCCCGGCTTCGCAGAAGAGGAGCAATCAACAAGTGTCTCTTCTTGCCAGGGCTCCCTCTCGAATTGAGACGCTACAGTGGTTTGCCTCAATCCATGCTCAATGCTTTTGATGTTATCCCCCAAGAGGGGCGAGATTGGTTCAACATCCTCAGTGAACCGAGAAGGGGCATTTTTCTCGGCTGTCCTGGAAACCCCTTCTCATATCGAGCCCGGCTAGGGGGTTCAGCAGGAAGGAACCCTGGGGAGCGGTCAGGGCTTGCATCCCATACACTCCCTCTCTCAAGCCAGGGCGCCTATAATGGGTGGCGGCCGTACAGCTCCCACTGCCCCAGTCTCCCCTCCCCGCTCCCTCACGCCCCCACCCTCAGGTCTGGCTCCTGCGCACCGCACCCCCGCCCAGCAGAGTCCTCCCCCGATACCCCCCGTCCAGGTTACCATGCTGGCGGGGCGGCCAGCTGCGGCCGAGGGGCTCTCCGCGCCCCCTTGCACCGCCCCCGCGGAGGAGCGGTGCTGGGTGTCCGGGTGTCTACTCCTGCCTGTCTGCTGCAGCGGGGCTTAGCAGAGTTCTCGGTCGGAGAAGCGCACCAGGCAGCGGCAGTAACTGCGGGCCCGGCGTACGGCAGCCATCTTCGCGGGGCAGGGGGCCAGATCGGGGCGCGCTGGAGCAGTGGCTGCGGCCGGCGACTCGCGAAGCAGAGGGTCGTCCGCTGCCAGCCAAGGCCGAGGACAGTGAGAGCACCGGCGCGTCGGCCCTATTGGAGACCCCGGACGCCGCAGCGGAGCTGCCCCCTCAGCTACGGAAACCTGCGCCGACACTCGGAGCATGCGCAGTGCCGCCGCCGCCCGTAAACGCAGCCCGGCTCCCCAGCCCAGCGCGCTGCCTCGCGGTGGGCGACGGTTACTGGGCCTCCCGCGCGCGAGGCGGGCGCTGCGGTGAGGGTGCCGGTTCGCGAACCTCAAACTCAACCCACGTGTTCGGTCCAGTGAACATTTAGGCAAACTTGAACAAGGTCATCTCAAAAATGTTTATAATCCCAATTTAGGGCTGAGCCCCTAAGGCAAGCCACCCTGAGGAGCATCCAAATGAACACTTCAGGACGGTCGCTACAAGGTCCCCGGTGACTGTCTAGAACCCCGCGCCAGGAATGCGGGGAAAGAGTGAAGTTCCGCAACAGTCACAGGCTGTTAGAACGACTGAACTTTTTAAGAGCTCAGAATGACTTTGAAGGTTGAGGGAAAGATAAGCTTAGGTGCCCAGCAGGGGAAAAACAAGAAAAGAGCCAACGTAAGGCTTCTTTCACTACAGATCCCATAATGCGATGGGGGAAGGACGTGCGGCTCCAAGGCCCCCGAAACCCGAGTCCGGCGGGACGACGGCCGCGAGGCACGCTGGGATTTGTAGTCCGCTGCTCTGCGTGCGGTACCGGAACTTACATGCGGTCCTCTCCCCACCCCTTAAAGCCCAAACACCTGAGTTCCCTTAAGTGAAGGCACTCGTATTTATCAGGCAAAATTTTATTTTTCCACAATTTAAATCTTTTTAACTACGGAAGTTTGCGTGTTTTGTGAAAACCTATAGCTTTCATAGCCTCTTACCTTCACTTAGCAAACATTGACTGAGTTTCCAAAATTACTGCTAGGTGCCAGGGACTAAGAGTCCTCAGGCATTGGCCTAGGCAAAGAATTTATGAAGAAGACCCCAAAGGCAATCACAGCAACGACAAAAATAAATAAATGGGACCTGATCAAATTAAAAAGCTTCTGCACAGCCAAGGAAACTGTCACAAGAGCAAACAGACAACCTACAGAACGGGAGAAAATTTTTGCATGCTACAAATCTGATAAAGGGCTGATAACTAGAATCTACTTACAACTCAGGAAAATCAACAAGAAAAAATCAAACAACCCTATCAAAAAGTGGGCAAAGGACATGAACAGAAACTTTTCAAAAGAAGACAGAATAATGGCCAAAAAACATATGAAAAAATGCTCAACATCTCTAATCATCAGGGAAATGCAAATTAAAACCACAATGAGATATCACTTATCTCCGGTGAGACTGGCCTTTATCAAAAAGTCTCAAAACAATAAATGTTGGCGTGGATGCGGAGAGATAGGAACAGTCATACACTGCTGGTGGGACTGCAAACTAGTGCAACCTCTGTGGAAAGCAATATGGAGATATCTTAAAGAGATACAAGTAGAAGTACCATTCGATCCAGCAATCCCATTACTGGGCATCTACCCAAAAGATCAAATGACACTCTATAAAAAAGACACCTGCACCCGAATGTTTATAGCAGCACAATTCACAATTGCAAAGATGTGGAAACAACCCAAATGTCCATCAATACATGAGTGGATTAATAAAATGTGGTATATGTATACCATGGAGTACTATTCAGCTTTAAGAAACAATGGTGATATAGCACCTCTTGTATTCTCCTGGATAGAGCTGGAACACATTCTACTAAGTGAAGTATTTCAAGAATGGAAAATCAAGCACCACATGTACTCACCATCAAATTGGTATTAACTGATCAACACATAAGTGGACATAGAAGAATAACATCTATTGGATGTCCAACACGGGGGAGGAGGGGACAGGTATATGCATACACAAAGAGTGCGATGGGCACCATCAGAGGGATGGATGCACTTGAAACTCGGACTTGGGCGGGGGAGGGGGGGCAAGAGCAGCATATGTAACCTAAACATCTGTACCCCCATAATATCCTGAAATTAAATAAATAAATAAATAAAATTTTAAAAAAGTCATCAGGATTCCAAATATTCAACGAGCTTAGAGTTTAAATTTCTAATCCATTATTTTATTCTGGAGAGTTTAGAAATGCAGTATATCTTAGGTAGATAAATGGAAGCAAAGAGAGAAAGAAGAGCTACAATAAAGAAGTCCAAATGCCAATGTTTTTATATTATAATCCATCCTTCGGATGGATTGTGTTTTTATTTCCACCCTAAGTCAGAGACATACACAAAATACTTCATGTTTAGCGGAGGCCAAAAATTCAAGTGTTTAGTTTTCAGTGAAGACTTTAGGGCTTAGGTCTCTTAAGGATAAGTTTCCTCCCACTAAACTCTTTAAAATTGGATTTTGAAATTTAAATGGGGGAAAGGGTTAAATCTAAGGATTTATAACAGAAGAAAATGATAAATGTGACTCTTGAATGCTAACTAAGAATAAGGTACTGAAATGTTTTCAGAATGAGTTTATTTCATTAAAAGAGTTGAAGACTAATTTAAAATATTCTGGTCAATTAGCACAGATGATTTCTATTATTTTTAGCAAGTAATTAAATAAAACTTAATATTTGTAAAGATAAGTTGAGTACCAATATTTTATTAAAATATTGTTATGCTTCATAGCTAATTTTCTATTTTAGATCAGTTCCACTATATCCTCCAGACCTTGTTATATTATCTATTCATATTATATTTGCAGGCTTATAATTTTCCTGAGGCCATAGCTTCTGATCTAAGCTACTTACTAGCCCAGTGAACTATTGCTAAAGGTATACCAAGACAGTACCTCTATTTGCCAAGTAGATTTGCTTGGACAATTGAATTTGACTTTTAGTCAAATTGATTATTTTACTTTAAAAATTGCTTTTCACGGGAGTATTATATGTATGATTTGTTAGGCTCCCTCTTGTCTCCCTATTTTTTCACTGATAATGATTTTCAATTTTCATTTGCCATATGGTTTATATAGGTAAACACAAAGGTAGATGAATGTTACCCATTTGTCAAGTGACCAGATAACCCTTGCCCATTTGGGAGAGGAAGTCTAAGGAAGTTTGACTATCTGGTGTCTTGCAAGTTTCTTCCACAAGGGCAAGAGGAGAGAGAGATGCAGGCCTTTGATACAGATTCTTTCAGTAAAAAACAATCTATCTTTATTCAGTCCATGGACTTCAAAAATAAAAAATAGTGAAAGACAATTGATCGGTTGACGAGCTCGGAAATTTCAGCTCAGAGAAGAATCCACAAAGTGTTAAAGGGTTACTGCTTTATTAAAATTGTGTTGCTCAGGGCAATGTGATTCCCCTGACCAGCAGCACAAGCACCAGAAACTCTGAGGTGGGGCCCAGGAATTTGTTTTAACAAGCCCTCTAGGTGGATATGATACTTCCTGCCAACGTTTGAGAACCCAAGGCTTAGAAAAATTATGTAAATTTAAATCGGGGCCCTGGAAGCAATTTCTTCTTTCAAAGCGCTTCAGCCTTATGAGGATGATTTAAGTTAATACCTACACCATAACTTATGACATAAGTGAATATGTTAGTGTTAGATTTCACATAACTAGTTACATTGTGTGGAGCATATCTAGCCAGGTTCCCACCTGGATGAGAATCCAGTCTTTCAAAGTGAAGTTGCTCACAATAAAACAACTCTTGAGAGTTCAAATGAATACCAACAGGAAATCAGTTGCGTTTTTATTTTAAATATTTTTCTATTGTGGTAAAATATAGGTAACAAAAGTTGCCGTTTCACCATTTTTGAGTATACAATTCAGTGGCGTCAGCTGCGTTTTTTAAAATCGGGAAAATGTTGTGACCATGATTACTTTCGATTAAGTGTACTCAGAACGTGCATCGACAGCCTCCATTTCTGAATCTGGATGGTTGACAGAGCCGACCCGTCCCAGGCGTGCGTTTGGAGTCGGGTCGCGGTCGCGTTCGGCTGGCGGCGGGCCCCCCCCCCCCGGCCTCAGGGCCGCCCTCGGCCGGGCGGAGCGGCGCGGCGCGGAGCCACTGGGCGAAGTGGCCGCGGTGCAGGGACGCGCAGGGCCAGCGAGGGGAGCTACAGGGTAACATTTCCCAGGGAAAGCGGCCGGTCGTCCCCACTAGAAGCCACCCAGCCTTTTGTTTGTTTTCCTGCCGGAGGCTGGAAAACGGCCGTGTTCCTGCTGCACTACCATGCGCCGTGCGGCCCGTGCGACTCGCCGCACCTCCCGGGCGTCCCCGTACGGAGCCCTAGGCCTGTCCTAGCAGGGGTCGTCCCCATTTCCAGTCCCGAGCCAGCGGCTTCGCCCGGCTCGCCGAGGAGCTACGCTCACCGCAGGGGCAGGCCCCCGCCTGTGTTCGCGGCGCCAGTAAGTGGGGCTCGGGGACTTAGGGGCTCCTGCCGGGCGACCTGTCACTCCAGGTGCTGGCCTAGGACTGCGGCGGGACCCCTGGCTGGTGGTCCCGCGGGGCGGGGGGAGGTGGCTCGGAGAGGCAGGAAAGGGCTTATGGGTTATAGTTTCTCTCCGCTATCCGGTGGGTCTCTCCTCCTGGCATGAAAACTCGTTTCTCCGGAGTTTGGCGAATTTTGATGCGTGTTTACCTATTAGTCTTGAAGAAGGGTAACATCCTAGCCGATTTGAAGCCCGTTTGGGGAATGTTGAGGACTTGGTCTTGGAATTTTCCTGCTAGGCCCTTGGCTGTCCCGCAAGGGGTCTGAGCAAGAATCCTCACATACTTCTTTGCAACCATTTTTCACAGGATTTCTTTCTGCTCTGATTTCTTTCTTAATAATCTGAGTAGATGTTATGAGATGGATGTTGAAGGGTTTTCCAGAGCAACTGTTTCTTTTGTAATGCTAACCTCTTAAAGTTTGACGCCAGCATCTAGTGGGTTATATGTAATGTAGTTTAATGCATCGTTCTGCAGAGAAGAGTGGACCTTTCTACTTAAAACTAAACAGAGACCTGCTTTTGCTAAAAGCTGGACAAACTAGGCTGAAGGAATACTACCCTGAATTTTGCAAGCAGGGCTGGATTTCTCTAAGGTATTGGTGTTTGTGTTTTTCTATTTTGGCCAGGTGCACTCTTTGTGGTAATAAAAGTTTGATAGTTGCGGTTTTCATTTCTCACATTTCCCTGTGAGTGGGGTTTCAAGGTGTGCTCCAATAGTGAATGTTATCATTGCCGAATGTGAAATTTAAATGAGCTTTAAATTTGTGTAGTCAGCCTACAAATTATTAAGAAGAATTTGTGTCTCCATCATATGCTTAACTGTGCCAGGAGTTAACATATGCATAAATATGCACATTTGAAATAGTTTCTAAACAAAGCGCTACAATTTAGTAAAGAATCTTTAAGGGCTTCCTATCTATTTGAGGACCAGGAATTGTAAAACACTAGGAAGTGGGTGTGGCAATGAAAGCAGTGCTGGGATTCTTTATTTAAAATGACATCCTGTGCCAATCTTGATCCCTAAGGTCCAGCCTTACAGTGACCCTGCCCACTTTTTGTTTCTTCCTTTCCCCTTTGCCTTGTCCCCTTCTCCAAAGTCAAAACTGGTGGCTAGGGACGGGGGTGGGGGCAGCCACATTTCTTAATACCAATCTAGTTTCAGATGGTAGAGGGGTGTGTTGGAGGGTTGATGGAGCCTATCTGAGTAGGCAGACCCATGCTGTCCTTGCCAAGGGAACTCAGCATTTAGTCACAAAGAAATGTTTTTTCTTACTCAAGTTTCTTCCCTACAGACTATGTGTAAGTGAGCTACCAGGATCAAGAACAGGCCTTTTTGGAGTTTTATTTATTGACTGTTCAACATCATCAAGGTCCTTTTTATAATTTTATCATTCGTTTTATTCTCATTGCTTTTTGAGGTTCCTAGTAAAGGTGGAAATTATGTCCATCTTGACACTTTGGAATTATCTTTAATAATTTTTTTCATAATCTTCTTCATCCTTTATATCAATGAGTCATCAAAACCTTTGAAATGTATTTTCTATAGATCCTTCCTCCTGCATTCTAATCCAGAACCTCACCCTTCCTCTCCTGCAGTACTGGAACAGCCTTTTAGCTTGCCTCCCAAGCCTGATTCTTAATAAGCCCCCATTAAATATTTGCCAGATAATGAATGAATGAGAAGCTTCCCTCTTGTCTTTTCAGCATTCATTTGCCCATCTAATCTTTTTAAATGATCACTTCATGTCTCCCTTGGCCTTGCAACCTTCAGTTCCTCTCCATTATCTACTGTCTCAAGTCTAAAATAACATATCTGATTTTTCAAGGCCTTCCATAATCAGCTCACCCTTCCTATCTCAATCCTATTTCCAGTTCAGCATGCATCTTTGTGCTCTGTGCATCTGGTCTTCTTGCTGCCCTGCAAAGGGGGCCAGGCTCCTTCCCACTGCATTGTGACTGCTTGTGTTGCTCTCCCTAGAAACTCCCTCCCTTCACTCTACTCTCCTGTGCAACTCATACCCCTCCTCAGAGGAGGAAGCTGAGTCCTCCTTTCATAATGTCTTCTCTGTCTTTAAAGTCTCAAGATACTTGTTTCTTAGCGCTTCATTATATTGGCTGTATTGATCTCTAATTGGTTTAGGTTATTTTAAGCCTCTTTAGGGCAGAAGCCATATTTTATGCATGGTAATGTAGCATCATGGGCTTTGGAGTCAGGCAGAATTGGGATCAGGGCCCGACTCTACTAATATTAGTCGTGTGGCCTCGTGGAATTCTCTTAGTGTTAATCCTGTCGTGTGTAAAATAGGGGAAATACTTCCCCCAGCCAGTTGTGGTGTGAAGATAGTCTACTGTGCATACTCAGTAACTAGCATACACCTGACAAAGGTCTGCTCATCCCTCAGCAATGAGTAGCTGAATCCTGAACGGGTAGCATATATTTGGTCATGGCTCAGCTTAGAGGCCCAGAGGACCAGGATAACCATGCAGTGAATCCTTAGTAAGTATTATCCTGCCCTTACTTAAAATGGCTTGAGCTTAGATTATTCCTGGCTACAGCTCTGCTTCTGGGATGTGTTGCTATTTTTCCATCTGAACCTTGCCAGGAACACTACTGCCTTAAATTTTTTTTTTTTTTTGCTGCTGCTTTTGCAGCAAGCTCCTCCATTTCATTTTGTAGGATCTTGCTGCGTTGGAGTTGTACCTAACTCTTCTATTGATGCCTGCCCTTGTAAAATGCATTTTTCTGTTTTGGAGGGTGGTCCGTGTGAGTATATATATTTGCCTAGTGGTTTCTTGGCAGAATTCTGGGTACAATGACCTTTCTGTATACCTTGACTTGAAAGCATGTGAATAGTGTCTCACTGGACTATTGATTCTTTCATCAGTGGTCTTTGGCAATCGTGGCATTCTGAGAAGGGCCTATGTTTACAGTATCAGAAATTACCTATCCGTGGACCTCAGTGTTTGTGGTTGATGTGGTTGACTGGGAGAATGGGCAAACAGAGGTGTGTGCCAGATGACTTATACAGATATTATTTTGAGATCACAGTGTAATTGTATCCTAGTTTGTGGTTGTGTTTACCTTCCAAATACAGTTTTAACTTCCTTATCAAAATACATGTGTTCTAGAAAATTACCTTGTACAAAGAATTTGGTGAAGCAAATCATTTTCTGGTGCAAATTTCATTAAAATGCTAAGGAAGTGTTGTGGCAGGAAGAAAATCAGAGATGCCTTTGATAGTAGCCAAAGAAGTAGTAAAAGAAGCAGTTCAAGTCCACCTGAAGTGGTCACCAAGGTTGATATGGCATTCACACTCAATCTTTCTGCTCCTAGTGAGCTGCTGTCCAACGTTAGGAAAATACTACTATTCAACGGTTATTAGGGAAATAATCAATCCCAGCAGAAAAGCTTCCCTTCTTGATTTCCTTCCACAGACAACTTAAGTGTCCTTGCACGTTATACACGTGACTCACTGTGCTTTGAAAGTTGAAGTCCTCCTAGGAAGAGTGTCTTGTGGTGGGACTCACCTGTGCAGGCTGGAATCAAATCCTGTGTTTATTGACCTGTGAAGTTGTGTCCGAGTTTGAAGAAAGCACATCTTTGAAGATCTGCCACTATTTTTTTTTAACTATTTGGGCCTAGGAGTAGCAAAATATTCATGTGCCTTTTACCAAAGGGAAAGTAGGGAGCATTTGATACATCTTTAATACTCTATAAAATGTGTGTTATATTCACACATTTAAAAAGTAAGCTACTCTGAAGATAACAAGGATTCTATTCTTCTTAGTTGGGTCTCTGGATCTTATATGTAAAATGAGAATGTTGGATAATCATTAAGGTCCCTTACAGAAAAAAAAAGTTCTTAATTCTATAGTTTGAAGTTTCTGCGACGTTATGCTTCAAACTTAACTCCTATTGAATTTACCATTCAAATCTATACTAATTAGCATTTGGTTATATTTAATCTTACGTTAAATTTTTCCTAGATTTTAGTAGCCCTTGTGGCTACTATAGAAGATAATACCTCAGAACAAAAAGATAAAGTTTTATGGTGTAATGTACAACTATGTTAGCCAATATCATGGAAGTTACTATCAGCGTGAACTTGTAGTTTCCAGAAGATAACTGTCATGGTGACTCAATTTTTTGAAATGGAAGGGCTGTAATAGTACCTCACATTTCGTTTGGTACTTTTCCCACCACGCTGAAGACCCTTAGTAGCCACTTGATAAATTGTACAGGGATGGCCCAGAGCTTGTAAGCACCAGGCATTTTTGAGGAAAGATCAGTGTGAGTCATGTTTTACCTTTCTCCAGGTGAAGTGTGACCTGTGATAAAGTACAAATAACATGGCACTGCCCTTGTGGCCACTGTAAAAGATAATGCCCCAGAACCAAGAAGATAAAGTATTACGGTGTGATGTCCAACTACATATTTGACAATATCATGAAAGTTACTATCTGCGTGAACTTGTAGTTCCCAGAAGGCAGCTGTTAATGATTTTGTCCTTTTGGACATTGCCTTTGCTTTGCAAGTAAATTTATTAGAGAACAATTTAACTAAGACAAAGCTGAGTGAGAAAAAAGTAAGATATACCTGCCTTCATGTTATCTTAGCTGTTGAAAACCAAATGTTTTCCTGAATTAAAGTTTTAGGAGTCATAATTTTTGTGCCTTAGTCCCAAGATAGTTGTCCAGTTTGCAGAGAAGAGGGGCGTGATGGGATGCCAGGGGGGTGGACTTGGCAGTACAGGAAAATTACCTATGGTCAGAATTGCTCTTTACGGTTCCGTAAGTTGCTCATTCATTAATTAATTCATTCAACACATCTTTGTTGTGAGCTCCTATTTGTCCCAACTGTGCCAGGTAGTCTTGTGGGTGCTGGGAATACAGCTGTGAACATAAAATTTCTTCCCTAACACAACTTATATTCTAGGGACAAACACAGTTTTGTACTATATGTAACCCTGAAACCTAGGGGTAAATTAAGGTTATATGGAGACTGCTAAAGTGTTTCTGCTTATTTTTGAGGTTTCCTCTATTTCAGAGGTGGACAAACTATGGCCTACGAGGCAAATCCTTCCCGCTGCCTGTTTTGTGGATGAAGTTGTATTGGAAATACAGCCATGCCCATTTATTTATGTATTGTCTTTGCTTTCATGCTATACCAGTGGAGTTACGTAGTTGTGACAGAGATAGATAGGCCTCAAAGCCTAAACTGTTTACTGACCCTTCACAGAAAGTTTGCTGACCCCTTCCCTATTTTATTTTTACATGAAGCCTTTAATTCCTTAATTCATTTTATTGGTTTGTGATATGTGATACTGAAGCATCTTACACTGAGATCAGCTCCTTAGTTAAATATGCTGTAATGTCAATATAAAGCTTGAATATGTGGTATGTTCTTAGTCCCTCCTCCATCTTCTCCACACCCTGCCTCGCCCACCCCTAAAACGTGGGGTGGCAATCAGGCAAGCAGTCGAAGCTGGAACTGTTATCACCCTCCACAGTTTTCATTAAGCTAGTGGATGACCTGGAACAAGAGTCCACAGAGGTCAGGGTAAAGTTATTTTTTTCAGGCTCTTTAATATCT